AAGAAGGTGAAGAATGTCACTGGGAAATTGTAATATTAAAACAAATAGACAGGGGCCGGCCTGGCCTGGTGGCACAAGTGGTTAAGTGCGCGTGCTCCGCTGTGGCGGCCTGGGGTTCACCGGCTTGGATCCCAGGCTCGCACCGACGCACTGCTTGTCAAGCCATGATGTGGCGGTGTCCCATATAAAGTAGAGGAAGATGGGCATGGATGTTAGCTCAGGGCCAATCTTCCTCAGCAAAAAGAGGAGGATTGGCATAAGATGTTAGCTCAGGGCTGATCTTCCTCACAAAAAAAAAAAAAAACCAACCAAACAAAAAAAACAAATAGACATATCATAGAACAAAATGTAAACTGCATGAGTTTTAAAGACACAACACGAGACTTCAAAGAAATATGCTTAGAGCTGTGCCTGCACCCCTAGACACAGTAGGGGTATACTCACTTGCCTCCTGTTATAACTACTTCTGTGGAAATGTTTGAGAAGCAATACCTTAAAGAAAATTTCACATAAAATTTAAAATTTTTACTATGAACAAGTTATTCGAAACTCACTCTTTGCAATGAGAAAAAAAGTTAGCAAAATAATAATTTGTAGATGCAACTGCTGTTATCCTTTGCGTATTTAACTCTTCAGGTCTAAGGTATGGAAATTTTCATCCAGTTTATTCCATACATCTTCATAAAGGCTCTGTTCATTCTCAGGCTCACTCTGTCAAAATAACATGGCTTCAGGGCCCTCACAAAAGTAGCCCTCAGCCTTACATAAACACACGCCCTGAGCTCGGTGGTGTTTGATAGCATGCTATCTGCACCTTACCTGATCTTCCATTCTCTCTGTGCCTTCTAAGACTATTTTCTGGACATTTTCTTGCCTTTCCTGAGCAAGAGAAAATTCATTAAAATTTAAAAAACACGAGCACGACCTTTTGATACTTGCTTATTTTTTTGCAATACAGTTAAATGGCAGACATGTTCTTGTGTAACCTAGTTCGTGGGAAAAATACTTTCCATTTTAAGGCAGAAAAAAAGGTGGGGGGCAGGATATTAACCCAACAAATTCATGCTCTCATAGACAATACAGAATAAAAGAAAAACACCTTTTTTTCCTGCAGTTAAAAACAGATAATTTAGCAGCAAACAGTCAATGAAACATCTGCATAGCTTTACAAAGGAACTAATGATTTGCACTTTTCAAATTAAATAAGATCAAGTTGAATCTGGGAATTCCTGATTTTGAATGATTTTCATAAACATGTAAGAAATAAGGAGGAAGCCTGCTAACATAGTAAACAACAATTCTTTTAAAAGATATTATTTTTCCTTACTATCTGGTAAAAGGCTTATAAAATTAATAATGCTTTACCGGACTTCCATATTACTATCAAACTGCTAAGTAGACAGGAGAATTAAATTTGTTCTTCAAATCTCATGTAAATATAAATATCACTATATATTAAACTATAGGATTTAAGGGATAACAGTAATTTCCTCTAGCTCAATCTGCAAAATTAAAAGGAATATCTCTTAGAAACCATTTGGTCCAACCTCCTCATTTTACAAATTTCAGAACTTGGCAAAGAAGTTAAAGGGACCAAAGGCTACATTACTCAGCCACCCGCTTATGAAACAATTGTTTTGAATTGCCTGTACCTACACATGGCAGTAGGTCAAGGACAGGGTCATGCAAAGCAAAAACAAAAAAAATGGTTTTAGAGTCAAGGGCTCTCAAGACAAACCTAGACTCTAAAACTTATTATGTTCTTGATATCTCTAAGCTTTAGCTTTTTATCTGTAATGTGGAGCTATCATCTCCTGCCTTCCAAGTTATTATGAAGATCATTGACATCAGACTGGATCTATCTGTATCCAATAAGGTAGACACAAATAACAGCTATTGTTTGAAGTTAACTGGATATAACTTCTAAAAACTAGATATAAATGTATCAGAAGATAAACTTTCAACAGCTGGGTTAGCATGATTAATAAGCTCAAAAACCACTCACCTTGTGCATCCATATCCTTCCCTTCCTGATAATGTGTGTTAATCTGTCAACACACACTCTGTGAAGTGGGAGGTAGAAGCTAAGTTCCGTCTGTGGAAGTATAATTGATAGTCCATATGTGCTCCTATCCCCATTCCAGTTTCCATCGAAGATTAATGAAACAATAATTACTCCTTTTTCAGACAAGACAAAAAACTTTACATCGATAGCCCCGCTCTCCGCATTTCGAAGGATTTCTCCATTTAGGGTGTGGTTGGCAAGAAAAGTTATTTCTCCGTCGCTGAGAAGTACTTGTTCTGTCTTTGGAGCCCAGATGTGTCTTACTCTAGGACCAAGAATATTGTCCCAGTAAGCAAAGGTAGCTGCTAATAAAGGCGATTCACCACTTAAAGCAATCTCTGTCTTGGCAACAGCTGGAGATGGTGGTGGACAGAGATTCGACATCACGGCATCCCCACTGTCACATTATCCAAATGCTCCAGGGGTACCTAAACAGTGACAAACAAAACCAATGATCAGGTGCAGCAATTTTAAAGACATCCATCAAAAACTCAAATGACTTAGGCATATGTGGTTTTCTCCTCTTCAGTCCAAAAAGATTTGGAAGCATGCCTCTCACCAGGATAGAGACATTCAGTCAGTATGGCAGGTGCACATTAAGTGTTTGCTGATATGATGATAATTTTACAATCATAGTAACTTGTCCCTTATGTTCAGGACCTACACTTAGAAATCCAAAATAATAATGAACTAAAAAAGGGCCTCTGAACATTGATATGAAATATTATATACTAAAGCTCCTAGAATAGATCCCCACTGTTCCCACATATCCAGTCTATGTGCAATTCTAATATGATGGATATTTGGTTCCTAAACCATAGCAACTAAAGAGGAGCAAATTGGGAAGGGGAGGGCTCAGCTAGAGACCATGACACTTGTGGGTTGAACTGTGGCCTCCCAAAATACGTGTTCAAGTCCTGACCCCCTGTAGCTGTCAATGTGACCTTATTTGGAAATAGGTGTAATCAAGCTAAGACTGGGTCATACTGGAATAGGGTGGGCCCTAATCCAACGACTGGTGTCCTTATAAGGAAAGATTTGGAGACAGGCAGACATAGAGGAAACAAGGCCACGTGAAGACAGAGGCAGAAATTGGAGTGACACAGTTGTAAGCCAAGGAACGCCAAGGATGGCTGGCAACCACTAGAAGCTAAGGAGAGGCAAGGAAGGATTCTTCCCTGGAGACTTCAGAAGAGCAGGCCCCTCCCGACACCTTATTTCGACTTCTAGCTTCCAGAACTGTGACAGAATAAATTCGCATTGTTTTACATCACCCAGTTTGTGGTACTTTCTTATGGCAGTCCTAGGAAATTAGTAAAACACCTGACAGTAGAAATACCTTAAAGCTGCTAAAAAAAAAAAAAGACAAAGGATTGCAAAAACACAAACAACCTGGAACGGTAATTAAAAATGAGCAAACAGTCCTGTTATTCTCAATGAACTCTCTGGGTACCAGTGTACTAAAGTCCAACAATGGTGTTTAAAATGACACCGAAACATCAAGACAAAGATACATACATTTAATATGCTATTCAAGAAAGCAATGTAGCAGTTTATCATTAGAAAGAGAGTTCTATACTAAATGGCTAAAATAAAAAAGCTTCAGTTATTTAGAAGATGTAGAGAACCAGACGAGTGCACAGGCCCTGTTCAAGCCTTTCAATCTACTGAGAAAATAGAGAAGAGGGAACCGCCCAAGGTCACAGAGCTGGGCTAGAATCCAGTCTCTTGTGTATCTTGAAACACTCAAATATAACACTGAAAGTGTACATTCTACGTGATATGAGTGTAAAACGAATCATTCTTGCCTAATATTAAAATTGAATACTTGTGTTGAAAGACCGAAAATAAAAAAAAATTATGACAATTTTATTTAAGCAAGCCTAAAATTGTGGAATCTAGTCCTCTTAACGGTAAAGGATAGCAGTTAGTAAGTGAACTATGATATACCTATTTTTGCCTATATGATTGCTTAGGGAGATAACATTTGATCTATAACTAAATTCATGTCAAAATAAACCATTTTACTTAAAGAATTTTATCTATATCTTGTCAAGAGAGTTCAGAGATTGATGAAAAGCAGTGACTTCTATTTTTAAAGTATCAAATGAGCACTTTTATCATGGATGTCAAGAATAGGTTTACAAAGCTTGGCCAGACACTTCATAGTAAGTATGTGCAGAAATGGTTTCACACAAAGGCAGTCCTCATGTGTGTATTTTTCATTTCAGAAATTCATTGAGGGAGTATTTACTTTTTAACATGGTATATCAATTTAATAGTCTTAAGAGACTACAGTGGACATAAGCTGTCAAGTTTATTTAATACATCCACTGTTTTGGATACAATTTAAACAGTTTACAATGATAGAATACAGGAATATAATTTGAATTGAAACTGTAATGATGCTACTGTCATCATTAACAACAGCAAACAAGGCCAAGGAGATGAATTAAGTAAACAAACAGCCATAAAATTATATTGTATCATATTTTTCTTTGGTTCTTTCTTTTGGATAAAAAAAGGTGAATAATCATAAAGGTAATATTATAACTTAAACATTTCATCATTACACTGAAAATAAAAACATTTCCTAAAACCGAATGAAGCCCTACAGCAAATCTGGTTGGACTATGGGAAAATTCTCTACCTGGTTATGAAAATTAAACTATTTAAACAATTAATCACATTCATTCTCACTGCTAGTATCATTTGAAAGAAAACAAAAGGATAACGTGGAATTGTTTAGCTTAACATCCTGCCAAAAGAAAGAATCCGAGAAATGAAATGTCACAGAGAAGTATAATTAGGAGAGTTATAAAAATGATTTTACTAACACTTAAAGTCATCATCTTTGGTGAGGAACATCCATATATACAAATGTGGCTGAAAAAAGTCAGTTCAAAACCAAAAGTCTTTTATCTACATGTCTTATTTACATGTAGTGTTGGCTACTCCAGAGCATTATCAAACATTAACCATAGTCTTTTGAGGGAAGCCAGGATCCAAATTGGGTGACGCGATGGCTTGCCACTCCTGTAAACAAAGAACAGGGTTCATGAGGATGTAACAACATACCTTCTGAAAATAATCCAACATATGCAGACACAAAAATTATGTTAATTATCATCTGTTAAAACTGTTAGCAGAGTGGTAGCTTTGAAGCTTTGCTTCTTCTTAAACTTTTGCTAATCATTAGCCATCTCTTCTCCAACTGTTATTTAGAAAGTTGGTTGGTCCACTGCTATTGTAAACCAGAATTCTACCACCATAAAGCCCCACTTCTTGTAACCATGCTTTCTGTTTATTTTCTCCCCGTCCTAACAGAAGCAAGGTCCTAAACCAGCCCACCTTCCAAAACAGAAGCTCCCCATGCCAACTTTAATGACAGTGAACCACTTGTAACTACCAGACAGCAATACTTTCTAAATTTTTATTTTTATCTAAATTTTTAAGGCAAGACTGGAGATGAAGTTCATGGTATCACTATCAGGCTCTCGCTCTCTCCCATATCCAAGTTTCTCAGATAATAGCCAATTTCTTTCTCTGAAAGCAAATTTTGGACTGCTAACAGAGCCAAATAAAGAGACTATTTTATCAACTTTATAAGGAAAATAGACCTTTACCTCCTATGAATTGCTTTCTGGAGCAGGTTAGTGCTGGCTTAGTGCATAATCTGCAATGTGGTCTATAATTTCTCTCATTTGTTTCATATGTATACAGGGCATAGTCATCATGAGGCAATTTCCAAGTGATACAGGGCTTTCCCAGTGGCAAGTCTGGCGGAGGTGCTGGCAACAGTGTCTGTGTCACCTAACATCATCATATTTCAAGTATTCTGACTCCATAGTATTAATCTCTCATATACTATATTGTTGCTTCAGTGATGTTTCCATTACCTCAGAAGTTTTCTAAAGTGTGAAAAAAATGGTATCTAAGGAACAGTATTTTCCAAATTAAAAGTAATGTCAGATGTATTGTGTCCCCTCACTTTGCATCACAGGTGAGGGATGCGCACAGGCTGAATCCATATTCACCCACTGGCCACAAACCTGCCTGTTACTTTACTAGCACCTACTAGCACCTAACCATCTCCCTTGTTTCTGAAACGGTCACCTGTCTCGGGCAAGTTAAGTGCGTGACCTCTCTCTGTCTCCTGAACACAGAGCCTGGCGGAGATCCCCGGGGCCAGTGAGACCCGGTGTGGACACGACAGATGTGTAATCAGTGCGCTTCTTTCCGCAGCTGATACCATCAGTCAAGTGATGCCCAAGTCACAGCGGTCACTTCCTTTAAGTAAGTCTGTGTAATCTCGGGGCTGTGAAGCAAGAGGTCGTGCCCCACGGAATGGGAGCACAACCCAGGCTAGAATTGCTGCCCAAATTTACAAGACATCAGCAATCCTTAGAAACTTCTATTCGAATTCTCTCAGCGAATACTACAGCATGTCCACACCGCCATCCCACCCGCATCATTATCTCCTCTGGGACCCCGACGTGGTCCGCAGCAGCCGCGCACCGCCTGCCCTCTGGCCTTCCCCCGGCCAGGCCTCCCGGTGCCCGAGGCTCCCCTCCCCCGAGCCCGCGGCGGGTCCTCCGGGTCCCCGGGAGGCGCGGGCTCGGGGACTGCGGGCGCGAACCGGGAGGAGGCCCGATCCCCATCCCCTGGTCTGCGCCGCCGCCGCCAGGAAGCCCGGGCCCGGATGCAGGCAACCGCACTGGTCGCCGGGCTGGAACACCCGACGCCGGCTTTTGGGCAGGGAAGAGAGGGGAACAGAGAGGATGAGCCCAGCAGAGTCCCGCAACGAGGCTCCGCCGCGACCCCCGCGACATCCCCGCACCCCGACGCCAAACAGCCGCGAGCCCGCCGGCCTCTCACTCACCCTCTCGCCGCCGCCTGCGCCTCCGCCGCCGCCGCCGCGGGCGCACAGACCGCAACCGCAGCCCCGCCCCGCCCGCCTCTGGCCACGCCCCCGGGCCCGCCCCCGAGCGACCACACCCCCCGACGCCCATCCCGCTGCAGGCCGCCCATCCCGCCCTGTGTTCTTCTGGTTAAATATTATCGATCTTTCCTCGTTCACCCTCAGCGAAGACTGTGAGAGCAAGGGGAGGGCAGAAAGGGCGGGAAAAACAAAACACACACCTCCTAAACACACACCGCTGCTCCCTCTAGACCCCGCCCCTAAAGGGGAGGACCGGGCAGCAGCCGTGGCTGACGCCTCTAGCGCCATCTTTCACATGGGCGGAACAAGTCCTGGCTGATACGCCTCCTTTCCTCGTGGGACACCGTAGGGGCGCCTTGGCATTTTCGATTTGCGATTACGTGAACCCACGAGGCCTGTGAAAGGTGTGGGCTCGCATTGCTCTGTCTCTCTGCTCAATGAGGCGCCCCATGAGAATGTGGGCGTAAGGTGTTAAGCGAGAAAGTCGTGTTCTTAGTGGGGCAGGCTGCCGGGCCCCGAAAGCAAGCAGAGTTGGTGGTTGAGAAAGGTGTTGTTTGTGCTTGGCAGGTGGTGGGCACTTAACAAATATTTGATGAGGGAGTGGATTTATTTTTGCCTTAGTACACAGTTAAGTACACTGTAACTTCACCCCAAATCCGGTTAGGTAACTTCCTTTTCCCACAATACGTAGTCACCACATTTTTGTTTTCTTTACGTGCAAGCATTTTCTCAAGCATGATTTTCACACCTTTAAATGTTATTTTTGCTAGTTGCACAATGTGGATGAGTTGGGTTTTTTCAACCTTTGAAAATGGTTGAAAGTTAGCTTAGCCTTTTGGTCTGCAAGAGTGTTTAATCAGGTTATTCGCTACAGATGAATGGCACTTAATATTTTTCATCTTTAAAAATCATACAGCATGTCTTTACCATTCACTGAGGAAGCAAGGGAGGAATCAATACACAAAGTGACTCCCCCAAACCTATACCCTCTGCAGAAATAGACCCCCTACCCACTGCTCTATGCTTATATCATAACACCGAATAACTTCCATTTATCTGGTTCCTGCTGTGTGTTTGGTACTGTGCTCCTCAATCCACGGAAAGAAATATGCTTAATCCTCCCCACATATCTAGGATGTAGATATTGTCATCCAGTTTTGTGCAATGCCAGAGCCCACTGAGTCCTGAGGACACTAGGCTGGTACGGAGTTGGTGACAGCCCTTCTCAGATAACACCTGTAGGGGATAATACTTATACCCCCAGTTCAGAGTAAGATTGAGACTCCGATTAAGTGCCTGGGAGAGGAATATAGCACCAAGAACAGTTTTTCATACTTCAAAATTTTGCCTAGAGACAAAATAATTTCCCTTGTCTCCAACAGAGGTCTGGTTTTTTGCAATATCAACCTTAGAACAACTATGCTTGCTAAGAGAGAAATAATCAAACACCAAGGCCTAGATTCTGCATGACCATGAGAAAATATGTAATTAAAGGGGCTCTGTATGCATGATGCTTTGTGGCTAGTGAATGTAAATTATTTCCCCCAGGTCTAATTGAACAATTATTTAGGCATTCTGTAGCAGTAGCTTGTATGTCTTTCAAAAGATCGGCGCAAAAAAACCAGGAGGGAAAAGTAATTATGACAGTACTGTGGTCCACAGTACTTGTATTCTCAGAAGTGTAAAATCAGAGGGCAAATATCCTAGCCCACATCCCTTTTTCAGAGAACCAAAGAGAAATGATATTAAGTACATAGTAATGTGATACATATTAGCAGCACCAAAGGATGGCTTGGGAGGGCTTAACCCTTATCCCCTCCAAACTCTGTTAATCAGTCCAAACAAACTACCCCAAATAACTGTTCCGTGTAAGTGAAAATAGGTTTTGCTATTGAAATATACTTCAGGCAAAAGCCCTAGTCCCCCGTTTCCAACCAGAATGATTCCCTAAGACCCTAGTTAGAATTTTTTGAGCTATCCAGTTATCCACATATAATTAATGAGCAATCATACAAAAAGGCTCTCCAACTAGGGGAGCAGTGAAGCAGATGGTTATGAGCTTGGCCTCTGGCATCAGAGCTGTTGTAAATATTTCTGCCTTTAATTAGTTATGAGATTTTGGGCAGGATTTAACTTCTCTGTGCCTCAGTTTCCTCAGCTGCAACATGGCAAGTGGAATAATTTTTCACAGGGTTGTTGTGAGGCTCACCTGAGATCAAGCAAGCTAAGAATTTAGAACAGCACATTCAAGAAATGGTGGCCCTAATCTCAATTTCAGTAACTACGAATGGACAATAGAAGAAATTACAAATGATGTATAAACCTCTTAAATTATGTGCATATTTATAATTCCAATAAATATAATATCAGAACCTGGGGAACGTTCTCGCTACATTACAAGTGTCAGTTATTGTCAGGAAGCCTTTCCCCTGTCTTCTCTTTATTAATGAATTTCAGAAATGTATTATGTGCTGCTTCGGAGCTGGAGCTGAGGACTTGATTACCTCCCATTTACCAAGATTACAGCAAATTAGATTGAAATGTGACTGGCACGTGAACGATCTGATGTCGGACATGGATGAGGAATATTGCTGTATAAACCACAGTGAGTTTAATTTCTTTTAAGTAATGAGATTTTATATGGTTGTCTTAATCACTGCAGACTTATCAATATGCATTTTATGGTATATTACCTTTTGGTTGGAATATGAATGAGCCAACACCCAACTGAGGTACTTCCAGTTGGAATCTTGGTTCCTGGATATATAAAGTTGGTTCTGTGAGCTAGTGTGGTATAAATGGTTTAGAAAGCTCTAGTAGGTTCATGTGTACAGCCAGCAGTCTATAGTTCTAGTAATGCACAATGTAGGCAATGCCTCTGCAAGAGAACATCATTAGGATCCAATATATATTTCTTTTCAGATCCTCTTGAGGCTCACTATTCTACAAACAATAAGCCAGTAAGCTTCTCGGTGAGAGGAATCACATCCTCAACCTGGTATTAACCTCTGTTCCTTCCATGTTGGTGATCTACCCCTTGCAGGCAACAGTAGTGAGTGATCTAAAGCCCAGAATAAAGAGTTCCCGAGGGGAAGAAATGCCAAGCTCATTACAGCGTCATAACACACACAACAAGGAGAACAAGAAGTAGGAAGAGAGGCCTACCATTTTCTTAAATCTTAAGACAAGATCATTAGCTAATTTCTTATAGAGGAAGACAGATTTTGAAGTTGTATTTTGATAATTTGGTCATAATTTGACGGAGTTTAGATGCAATTCACAGTGCACAGTGATGGTTTTGGTGCTGCTCTACTGTATGTCTGAGTCACGGTGGACCAGTAACATGAGCGGCAGCTCTCTCAATGGCGGCAACTCCTCTTCTAGCCACACACTTCCCAGACGCACCTCAGAATACCCCCCAGCACATCTGCCTGTGGTTACCCCTCTACTTGTAACTCTCAGCATTTTTTGCATTTATTCTTGTGCTTTATTATG